AAACACCAAACTGTATATTTTAGCTAAAAACGAACAGAACAACCTGGAACAACTCTCAATTTTGCTAGAACATAATTTTAAAGAGTACTTTACTCTTGAAAATAAACACATTTTTCTTGTTTTTTCGTGTTTTTCGACCGATAACGTCGCGACAGCGGTCCCAAACTATAGAACAATTACGTACTGGCATAGAACAACTTGGAACAACTCTCAATTTTGCTAGAACATAATTTTAAAGAGTACTTTACTCTTGGAAATAAACACATTTTTCTTGTTTTTTCATCTTTTTTGCTCGCTAAAGTCGCGATAGCGGTCCCAAACTATAGAACAATTACGTACTGGCATAGAACAACTTGGAACAACTCTCAGTTTTGCTAGAACATTATTTTAAAGAGTACTTTACTCTTGGAAATAAACACATTTTTTTTGTTTTTTCATCTTTTTTGCTCGCTAAAGTCGCGATAGCGGTCCCAAACTATAGAACAATTACGTACTGGCATAGAACAACTTGGAACAACTCTCAATTTTGCTAGAACATGTTTATTTCCAAGAGTAAAGTACTCTTTAAAATTATGTTCTAGCAAAATTGAGAGTTGTTCCAAGTTGTTCTATGCCAGTACGTAATTGTTCTATAGTTTGGGACCGCTATCGCGACTTTAGCGAGCAAAAAAGATGAAAAAACAAAAAAAATGTGTTTATTTCCAAGAGTAAAGTACCCTTTAAAATAATGTTCCAGCAAAACTGAGAGTTGTTCCAAGTTGTTCTATGCCAGTACGTAATTGTTCTATAGTTTGGGACCGCTATCGCGACTTTAGCGGGCAAAAAAGATGAAAAAACAAAAAAAATGTGTTTATTTCCAAGAGTAAAGTACCCTTTAAAATAATGTTCTAGCAAAACTGAGAGTTGTTCCAAGTTGTTCTATGCCAGTACGTAATTGTTCTATAGTTTGGGATCGCTGTCACGTCGTTATCGGTCGAAAAACACGAAAAAACACGAAAAACAACAAAAATATGTTTATTTCCAAGAGTAAAGTACTCTTTAAAATTATGTTCTAGCAAAATTGAGAGTTGTTCCAGGTTGTTCTGTTCGTTTTTAGCTAAAATATACAGTTTGGTGTTTAAGAGATAATAACTATAGCCGAAAACGTAAAAATACTGTTTTAGCGCACGAAACTATTTTTTTATTATATCTCGTGAAATATTTTGTTTAGGGAATTATCACTTTGGAACAATGTTTAGAACAACTAGAACAATCTGGAACAACCTTTAAAAGTTCGATTTTGAAAAATGGGGGGCCAGGCCAAAAAATCGTTTTTTTCCATTTTTCGCGAAAATTTTTATTTTTTAAATTTGATCTTTTGGAACAATTTAGAACAAGTCTAGAACAACCTGGAACAACCTTTAAAATTTTAAAATTCGAAAAATGGGGGGCTAACTTCATACAGGCGGTAAAATTACTATTTTTATACAAAAATCATATGTAATTTTAAATTTACTATTTTCACTTTACTTTATTAGAATTGTATTTTATAAGTATTTATCTATTTTATTTATAACATTATTTTATAGCATTTATACATTACTAACATTTCTTATGTGTAATTACATGTTCAGTGAAATATTTTTAATCTTGAAAATATTTAAAAATATATTTCATATGAAATTGCACATAATCTGTAATCTTCTATATAAGTATTAATATTGCATGATTATGGGTCGGAAAAAACCTAGTTTAATCATGTAATTTTACATAAATATTTTTTTCAGTGTATATGAGATATAAACATTTTTATATGTAATTGATATATAGTATTGATTTTCTTATTAATTTTTGTGCAAAATATACCAGTCAAATTTTGAGAAACGATCATGTTAACAGATTATTCGATTTCTAGACTTTTTTTCCGTAATACACAACGTGTGAGATTATTTAACGCAAAGAAAGTCACGCGATCTGTAATTTAATTGCATTAATGACTTCTAATTTAGTTATCATGATGCAATTTCCTTACAATTGTTAGAACAATGTAGCTTTCTATGCAAAAGTAATTTCAATGAGAAATTAAATATAAACGGAATACGAAAACTGTATACTGTGTGGGAATAGTATGAAATAAATATTGATTAATTACTGTTAATTATAACACACGTATCACATTTTGCGAATAATTAGTTATACATCGTAAAACACTCATAATTAATGTAATTAAATGATTATGAAGCAGAACTTCCTTATGATCGAACAATGAAACTTTCTCTAAAAAGACTATTCTAACGGGTGATTAGGTAGCCAGAATAGGAAGATATAATGGCACAAAATTATATAAAATAATCCTTTAATTAATTATTATCCATTACGGTTCTATAACAAGATTAACGTACTGCACTCTTCATATAGTATCATAATGCATAATAATTTCAATATAATGTCCTGATATAAATACACATGAGCATTAATATTAATATACTTAATATTATAATTTAATAAACAATAGCTTTTTCAGAAAATTTACATTTATTTGATATTTATTTTTTCAAAGATAATTTTGTTTGATTATCGTCTCGATTCCTATTTCAAGTTAAAGTCTAACAGTATAATATTACGTGCCATGATTCCTTATCAATGTCACTGGATAAGCGAACTTACCAATGACGCATATATGCTATGCAACAGATGTAATGCAGTTATTCGCATTTCTTTACATTAATGATATATTGAATGCTCCAATTTTCATTTAAATGATATAACTCTTATTATAGAGGATGCGTCATAAAAAAGTTGTACAAAATTGTATATTGTAACAAGAAATTCCACAGTTATCAAGTGATATTTATAATTGTAATCTTTCTACAGAGATAATTTTATTCAAAGAAACATGACAATGTAGGAATTCGAAAATGTCAAAATTTATATATTATATTTTTAAAACTATAAATCTACTTAAATACTTAAAGATTTTTAAATTAAGATTTATCAAAGATTTTTTAAAAATTGTTATTCATGAAAATAAAAATTATTTCTTATTTTTTAATTTAAAAATTGAAAAATGTCATAATAATTTTCTTATATTGTAAATATTTGATAACATCTTTTACAATCCTGTTATCTATCTTAAAACGATCTTTCATTGTGCGTAAACAAAACAGTTCGAAAAGTACGCCAATCACAAATACACCTGTTAATATGAATACAATTCAATCGTTCGCCTTCAGAGATATCAATCAAAATGACGTATCCCGATGATTCTTTTGGCCCCGGAACAAATCAATCGTTTTACTTACATCTCCGATCGAGGTTCGCAAATAAGCGTCGTAAAAACACGGCCATAACTTATAACTCACTCCTCACTTCAAGCACATACGTATAATAAGAACTTGTACTTACATTTGCCTCGCGAATCCAAGGAGATCCTTCTTCCGGACACCTCACCACAGTCGCGGAAAATCCCGCGAGGATCCCGATCTCGTTTCACGACAGCGCAGCGAATCTTTCACTCATCGAGCGGAAAATCGAATGTTCGGAGCCGGTTAGATTTCCCGGCGACATACGCGAAACATAGGCGCGTTCGCGCCGCGAAACTGTCCCGCCTTTGAGCGACTTTGTCAAATCTGTGGATTCTCGTCCTTATTATCTGCGGCTCGAAAGCGTTGTCGAAAGAATCGTCGTTTCTCGTTGCTCGTCGTCAAACGGTTGAAAGCGCAATGCCGTACGATACGTCTCGCGGGGTATTGCGCGCGCACCCCATGCTCACGCTGCCGCGTCTCAATCATAGACTGAGGCGCCTAGAGACAGGCCGCCCGTATAAATGCGCGGCAAGCGAGGGAAGGGATCGAATTGATTCGCGCCGACGCCGCGAGTGGTCACTAGAGGACATACCGGGCATGCGACTGTAAACAAATGTATACTGTCAGATATTTCATTGCTCCGTATATGTTTATCAACTGAAAACGTTCTCTTCCCACAACGCGAGATCTTTCATTTCTATTGCACCTGTCTTATCATTTTTTTTAAATATTCGATATATTTTTATAAACAATTAAATATGAGACATTGTTCAATAAATATCCTACTTTTTTAAAAACGCGGACATGTAGATTTCTTTTAATATATTATAGTATTTTTTGTTATTTATAATAAAAGTATTTGAGGTATTATTTATTTACAACGAAAGCGTAATTTTTTTATTTAAAGTACAACTATATTTATTGTATTGTATTTTATGTGAATAATAATTATCAGTGAAAATCTTTATGCAACCGTTGATAAATCTATATTTATAGGCATCGATTTAATCGACTTTCGATAACAATAATTGGGATATAATTTTTATATAATATATATTTTATTTTTTTATTTCGAAAAAATCAAGATAATTTGTTGAATTATGATATAATAAATTGCAATGTAATGTCTCTCTCTTTAAATTCACTGATTGACAAATATAAGTTTAATTTAACTGTACATATTGACAATAATAAATATACTTGGAAAAGTTAATAAATTAAAACTTGATTCATAAAACACATTTGAGCAATTATAATTCTTTTATGGTGTGCATATATTATGAAAAAGGATATATTTTATACAACTTCGAATTTAACATATAAAAATCATACATTTTTATAATATTTATTTTTTTCACGTAAATAAAATATTTATATTTCAATGAATTTTACTTTTTTGCTTTTTTCACAATTATACGACAATCTTTAAAATGCTTTTTTATGCAATTTCAATCAGCAGGTGCAATTACATGAGAAGAGAGACAGTTATGTAGTGAATTACTATGGAAACCCATATGTGAAACTTTGTTAGGACACAAAGGACAAAGCCCGACAAATGTAGGTAGTTTCCTAATAAAAACATACGACGTGTCTACGAATATATAAAACAATTTTTATTTTAACAAAAAATGTATACTTTGAGCAATAATTAATATCGTAACTGTGTGTTATAATGAGTGGAATTATTCGCAAAGAAGATAAGAAAGAAAGACGAATTCTGTCATGTGGAAAAGTGCATTCTACTGAAAATACGAGATGCAAAAATCTCTATTGAAGTTAAAGCAGCAAGAGTATTTGATGGAAAAGAATCTCGCTAACTTGATGGAGAACATGAAACTAGAACCAGAAGTTCTACGACCCGTTTTGCATAAAATGAGTGACATCTCGAAAAACAGGTAGACAGAGAAAAACGAATTAGTCGATCTTAGATTGCAAGTTATGCATTGCATATCAAGTTCGCTCACGCGATATTTTATTCTATCGATTTAATTTAAATATTTTTTTTTTAAGACACATTTTTCTGGATAGCGTGAGAAGACGTTTGGAGGAAATTTCCGATGAACTTCAATCAGTAAAATCTGCCACGAATTGTCCTGAAAAGATCCAGAAGTTAGGTAAATTATAAATTTTTTACACATTTATTCTTTTTCGTTAACTATGTCGCAATTTCTATATTTAAAATTTTTATTTAAAATGTCTCAATTTAATTAATACCAATTATATAGAAGTCGTTCAATATTTACAATACGAATAAACGTTTGTCTAGACACAAATGTATACAAACAACAGCTCGTGAGACTGTCGGAAAAAATTCGGGACTTCAAGGAGTCTTGTCAACTGCAAACTTTGTCGCAGGAGCAAACAGCTCTCGAGTCTGAATTGCGCGAATTTCAATCGAATTTGCATAAGTATGAGAGTGCAACCGGTAGCAAACCGACGTTTGCCACATCCTCTAACAAGGAAAATAAAAAGTGCAACGATTATAAGGGGATCCAAGATTTCCACGCGTTAATTGCTAAAACAGGTACTTGACACATTTGCATTCGCCTGCGTATCAATAATTAAAGTATGCAGCAAAATGTGACTTTATTTTTCGTAACACGTAATGTTTTTCAATATTTTGTGTTAAATTAATTAATTTTAATCGAAAAATTCATTCATATTAATCGAAGACAGTATATAAATTCTCTCATATTCTCAGTTTTCTTGTCAAACTCTAGTTTTCGTACGCTGTGGGGCTTTCTTATATTATTTATTGTAATTCGTCGAGATTTGCAGACTTATATATAATGTGACAGCAAAGCCACATACCTTGCAGGCTATACCGATAACTGGAGCGACGAGGATCACCTGCTGTTCCTGAAAATGCGAAAGAAATGTCGCAGCATCGCTGCCCTGGTCACTGCTATTCAAGTCAAGTGTCCAGATTTAACTGCGGAAACCATAGTGAATCACGAGACCTGGTACAAGATTTATCTGAACCTACGCGAGAAACAACGATCAAGTATTGAAGAGTGGCGCAAGCAAAAAGAAGAGGAGAAGATAAAAAATTGCAAGAGCGAAATCGGGATCGAAAGCTTGGAAGACACTTCACGAGAAAAAACGACATCTAATATTACTAAAAAATTGCCGATTCGCATGACTGATAAATGTGATAAAACAATAACAAAGACTTGGAATTTTGACAAGGTCAATAACGCGGATGGAAAGAAGGAATTAATAAAACAGTGGAAAATTGAGAAAGAAAATAAACGTTTGGCTGACGAGGAACAGTTAAAGATTCTGATCGAGTCGAAACTCGCCATGCTAGAAAAAAGCAAGAGAGAAAGGTTGAAGAGCATTCAAGAAGCTTTAACGGAGTATCGTGAGAGAAAATCGATAGAAATTTCTTCCAAAGCTTTGAAAGACAACTCGAAAACGAGACCAAAATACAATCCGATGTTGATCAAGGCTTTTAGGTAATTTATAATATCGTTTTCAAAATTCAAAGATTTGCATTAATAACATGTGTGTTAAATAATGTTAAATAGACAAAAAATTAGCTTAAAGTGCTGTTAATATAATAAAAAAATGTTATAAATAATTTTAAAACAGAAAACAAGATGAAGAGTACACAAGCAGAAAGAAAAGTTTGATAGCTACTAAACTACAAAGATCTAGCAAAAATCGGATGGCGAAAATCGCAAGATCACAATTAATGAAGAAGCGAGATTACTCGACTTTGTTGAATGCGACCAAAGTGTGGAGAGAACGATGCAGAATTCAAGATTTTAAATCGAATGAACCGAAAAAACTGCAATACATTAAGGATGTTCCGCGTTTGTATGTCTCGTTTGGAAAAGAACATTTATATTTTTACCTGTCTAATTATACATCTAATTATATGTGTCCTCTCTTTTCAGATACGTTCAATGGAGAAACAAAGAATCGGAGATCAAAGATGCCTTTTCTTTAAATCGTTAGTATTCTTAGTCAAAGTACAATTTCTACCTTTTCTGACGAAGAAGGAAATGCAAATCCCCAAAACGTTGGTATATACTTATATTTATTTTTCTTTACGAACGTATCTTTCTGTTTCTTTCAGATGATGTACATAATAAGTTATGAGTAAATGAGTGTTGATTTTATCCAGGATCGTCCGTTGCATGTTGTATATTCGGCTTTACAATTATATTATAAACCGCTCTATAAATCTCGTTATTTTTTTCATTTATCTTCCAGAGCAGAAAAAGGATGAAAGAAAGAGAAAGGAAAAGGGATCTCTCTTATCTTCGCGAACGTCGTCTCGGATAATTCCAACCCTCGGAGCTTTTACTCAAATATATATAATATACTTTCTATTAATCTTCTGTTCGTTATAATTCGATATTTTTTTCGTTTTAGATTACCAAATACAAAAACATAGGTGATAATATATATATATATATAATATGTATAATGCTATAATACATAAGTGTGTCTCGTATCGCGCCGAGTACGATAGCCTGTTCGCCCGCTATATTTTTAACTTGCCCTTATCAATTATTTTACTATTATTAATTACTATATTTGTTTACATGTTGCGGGTTAATCCTACGCGACGCGATATGATGGCACTTTCCGTTCTTTGTGAGAATATGCGCAAAGACCTTAAAACGCACTCTTCTTTTTCTCTCTTCCGTCTCTTTTAGACAATATTATATATATTTATGTATATCTATACTTTTTGTATATATATATATATATATATAATATATATATATATATATATATATATATATATATATACGTAGAAATATAATTATTTAGAATTTAATAATGCGCATCGCCTAAAAGAGTTTGCTTATTATAACAAACAATAGGTAATTGTATTTAACGCACTCTCTCTCTCTCTCTCTCTCTCTCTTTCAGTTACATTCTCCATCTCGTATCGACACACATGTCTCATTCGATTAATTATAACGGCTGCTACAATTTCTCTATCACTAACTTCTCCGAAATCTAGACGATAAATATGTACATGTGTGAACATTTGTACAGCGGAGTTGTCTTTTCGTCCTCAGCAACGTATCACTCTAACATATTCGTTTACTCAGTCAATGCAAAAGTTCGCATCAATGTAAGTTACGCCCGATTTTTTATATATACGCTATTTTCTAAAAATATTCTTCTCGATATTCGTTTCGCGACCGACGCTTTTCTTTTTAGTTACAAATTTCGATTCTTGAATATGAAAATTCCAAATATCAATTATTATACGCTAAATAAATTTTCATGGAACAAATCTATGCGTAATACGTTTTTTTAACGAAGACTCCGAAAGAATGTCTTACAAGACAGATTGTCACGAATTAAATATATTGACAAAATAAAAATGTACAGTCCACTTGTAAATAAGCAGAACGAAATGTTTAAATTCTTCCGATTATATTTAGAGATAACGTTAAGAAAATTAAAATGAGATAGTTAAAATGAGCGAAAAGTTAAAAAGAAGTTCTCGTAGGAAAGTTTTTCTTATGAGAGGATTCTGGAGAACGCATAAGTTATTGATAAATTTTATTAGAATCTTTACATTCGTGAATTATTTACAGAAATATAATTGCATATGTATATTATGTACTATGTATTATATATTCATAGTTCGTAGTTCTATCGTTACCATTTAGATTTAGAAAAGAGATTTTCTCGAATTTTTCATGACAATACTAAGGAGGCTGACTTCGAAAAAAAACTTTCCTATTACCGAGATCGCACGAAATCATAAAGTTTTAAATATTTTGGCTTTTTTCGCACCTTCCGTAAAAAAGAGCATGCTTTCATATAAACGCGTAGTAGAAAAACATATAAAAGAACCACTAATATTCTTATAATCAATATTTTGTCGGATACGATATCATATTTAAAAATCGTCTTCATATAATCGCCGAGTGAACTAATCTCTTGTTCAGTATTTTCTGCTTTTTTACGAATAATCTATTTCGATTCTATACGCAATTTTTCGTTTTAAATTATCAGTTTTATAAATATTTTGCACGCTTTTTCTAATTTTTAGACATAAACTATTATTAAATTTCAAAATAGGAGATATTTTTTTCTTTCATAAAACTCATCTGTGCACATTTCTAAAAAAATATTAAATGAGACTCTGATTAATAAATTTTCATAACTTTTCGCAAAGAAAATTATACAAGAAACAATTCTCGCTTAAATTCTAACATTGCACGCTTCAGGGACGATACAAATTTGAAAACGAGATCTTATAGTTTATGTGCAGATGTTTTATACATTGTGTATTTTGCAAAAAGAAAATCTAGTTCCTCCGCGATTAAAATCTTTTGTGATAAAAACTGATTTTTTTGGACTGATAAATAATAATAATAATGAGATAACGGGAATAAGCGAATTTATCCTCTTATCAAGAGCTCAAAGCAGAACATTTCGAATTTTATTATTCATATTAAAAAAGTTTCTAAGATAAGCGATACTTTTTATTGCAATTTTACAACCATTAACGTAAAAAATTAAAGAAATAAATTGCAAATAATTACAAGAAGCGAGAGCAAAATTAAGCTTTCAACTATCAAGAATCGAGAAAATAATTTTACGACGAATGATTTTATGCGATATTCGCGCACATTGCTTACAATAACGTGACGATTATTATATCGATTTGTTCACGTCTTGCTTCTCTTTCGATTTCGATAGTCATAAAAATCTGGTGTGCTACACAGTCTTTTATATCGAGTTTCACAGTATATCAAATTTGCATCAAACACGAAGCAAATTATTTTCTTTTTCTTCTTTTTAATAAAAATCCAAGAAACATAGTTAATTAATAAAGAATTTTACTAATCTAAACATCAGAAACGCACGTGGCTCAAATTTGCTAAACATTTACATGTACAGAGATAAACTTTGTTTTTCAAGAGAGTCACATCGTATAAAAATTAAACAAAATTGAACAAAATTCAATTAAAAAAAAAAAAAAAAGTTTTTATCATTGCACTTTATTTGTAAAATGTAATTTTGAAAATTCTCACACACACAAAAAAAAAAAAGAAAAACGTAAAAATGTGACAAAACTTTTTTCTACAACAAAATTTCCACGTGCGTTTCTAAGATCGGCGCGTACTCTTAAAAGCTAGACGAATAAATTCATACATTTTTTACTGCCAGATTTATTGACGTGATATAGACGAGTGTATATCTGAGCCTCGGTAAAGCGCGAGTTTAATCAAAGGTATGAGAAAATGTACTTCCTAGATTCTGCGTTCATTAATATAATTATCAAATCCGCACGCGGCTGTAAAAATTGATGTCCTTGTCTCTTGTAATCGAATATAAATGCATTATCAATATTCAGACAAATATTTTCTCGAAACACAAAGGAGTAATGTTCTTTCCATGGAAAATAGTAGGAAAACTCGCAATTCATAAAACTCTTGAAAATTTTGAGTTGTACGTAAACACAAAAATTATAGTTTTTCTAATTTAATTGAACGATTCTGAAATTGACGTGAAAATGAGAAAAAGAAAACTGAATAGATTCCAATATAAGTTAAATACTTTTTTTCTAATAATTTAACAAAACTGTTTCTTTTAAAATTATAAACTGTCTTTTTATAATTTTAAATTATTGATGTTAAATTATTGATGAATAACAATTATAATTGCATAATAATATAATTATATAATAATAAAATTATTATAAAATTATATAATAGAAATATAATTGTCATTCTAATTTTTTGTAAAAGAAGTACACATCGCTCTTTAAATCATATTTTGATGCGTATTAGTATCTATCCAGTTTCTTTTCTCTGTATTCAATCTTCTTTCTAAAATACAGATCTCTAATTGAGAATTGTCAAATTCCTCGAAGCGTTCACTACAGAAAAAAAAATTCGCAATAAGAAAGAGACGTTTATATTCTTTATAAATAATTTTTGAATTGTTTGACTATATTTTCTACAAACATGTATGTTTAAACATAATATGTTTAAATACTATTGAAATTTGCTGGGGATTTGAAATGTGACTCAAATATTTTTAGAATTTGCATTCGCAAAGTCCTATGCAAATTCTAAGAATTTAGAAATATTAGAATCTAAAATTATTTCAAATGATTTTGAAATCTTCAAACTGAGGAATTCAGTGTAAAGAAAATTTATATAGAAGAGTTGTGAAGGAAAAGATAAAATATGTCTTTAAATGGAAAGGATACTCTAATGACGAAAATACATGGAATCTGGAAAAGAATTTAGAATGTCCAAATCTAATTCCCCAGTTTGAAGAACAACGAAAAAAGAAAAAGGCATCAATATCTGTCGACGTAAAAGCTAAACCAATAATTAAAGATATAAAAACAATCCAGAATATTTATAGAAAATTCAGAGATATTTTATCATCAATTGAAAATAATCCAATGATCGAGAAAAAGACTAGATGCAAACAACGAAAATCGTCGTACATCGAAAAACCATCGGATGAAGACTTCAAAATCATGAAAATTTTCAATTACGACAGAATGAAATATTTAAGATCGCATTCTTCTCGAATATGTCACATCGCACCGTGAATTTCTTCCGCGTTCTTTTCTTGTTAACAGGAGGTCCCTTTCTACGGTCTATAAATTTGTATAAAAACGATACTTTTGTCTTATTCTGTTCTCTTGTTTTTTTTTTTAAATCGTATTCGTACACCAAGGACGAGTGAGTGTGTATGTGTGTGAAGCAAACTATATTGGGACAACATGAATTCTGAATAAATACTTAATATTACAACAAAATCTTAAGTATTCTTCGTAAATGTCACCGCTATATAGTTTGTACGAAAATAAGATACTTTACTTGAAGATTTTTATATGTACAGATATTACAAACAACGTTTCGTAATGCATAGGCAATGCGTCCTGCTACACACCTCTATTATTATACATACTGCAGGAGAGGATCTATTACGGGTCCGCCCTCCATCGAAGTTCGTTTCGTATCGTTTGCTGAATTTTGTGGATCTTTGATATATTTGATACAGCTCCTTTTAAAGGCGAGTAATTACCGCTTATGTCGATAATACTCCAGCCTTACTTTTTTTTGAATCTCCCGGATATGCTTAAGAATTAACCGTGTAATTTTTTTAATCACTTTTTGCGTATCATTTATGATCAATATAATTGTTTTTTTTAACGCAAGTTTTCTATTACATAGTTTTGAAAGCACAAAATAAATTTTTTAAGTATTTAATAAACGTTGTAATTAATATAAGTATTTGATATCACATCCTTAAATTCTTTCTGACTAATATCAGATAAATATTAAGATTGAATTCTCAAATAAACTTTATTTTATGATACATTTTTTGTTTGTTCTTTTAAGCAATCTTTTTTTATTAGATTAATTAATCGATCATACATTTAAGTTTTTTTATTAAATTTTTTGTATTTGTCAAATGTCTTAAAGCAGCAATTTTTGTTTCTACCTTTTTTACAAAAATTAAAATATTACTACGAATTGTACTATAAGTGTAGCAATTGCGGAAATGTTATTCTGTGCACAGTGTACATATTTTTAATTTCAATAAAATTTAAAGCAAAATATTTTTAATGTTTACCTATAAATCACCATTAGCATAAATTTATCTAAATTTTAATAATTTAGCATTATCGAAATAAGCAGTGCTTACTATATATATTTTTTTTCAAATTCAGTCTGAAAACGAAGGAAGAGAAAGCAACGACGAATCAAATTGATATTATTCGAATCTGTACGTTGTTTCTTTTAATGCTTTCTTTTTTATCTCTTTCCACTAATTTCTTCCTCCAAGAAAAAGGAAAAGATTTACTCAACAGTCGTAAAGACATCGTCGTCGCTATGTGATATTATTTACAGGTGAATTTTGTTCGCAAACGTAAATTTATTGTACTTGGTTTCTCTCAGGGAACTTGTGTTCGTAGCATATCTTCCCAGGGAATTCATAATCCCTCGCTTTCTACGCTATTTCGGCGGAATCGAGCGATCTCTAGAAGCTCCCTCGAAAAACGTCTCGACGGGTTCGGAAAGCAGAAGCTAATTTTCGAGCGAACCAAGTTCCCGAGTTCCGGTCGCACGAAATACGTAACGAGCCGATCTCGCTTAACAACGGCATGGCGGATCAATGAACCTCGGACGCCCGCCGTTTCGGCCAACAACACGCTAATCCTTCCTTCAACACTCGCTCGCATTTAAAAATCTTATCATTCTTATCAAAGATCTCTCTCTCTCTCTCGCACGCGCGTGCTCAACACTCATTCCCACTATTATAGTCTCTATGCTCAGTTTCTTGACCCGAAACGGTTTGGATAAACCGTTTCCAAAGTCGTAGCACAACTTTGTGAGGCTGGGGAAGAGAATCCGTTTCAGGGGACCAAGAGGGTTAAGAGGAGGCGGCAGAGGAAACCATCGCGCTGCAAAAGCGTCCAGGTATCGCGCGAAAGGTGAGTCATTTTAGTGGGCGACTCGTCACACGCGCACACACTATCACGGATTATTTATATGTACACATAGGATAAGATATACCACTGCACTCACACGAGGAAGTCAGGGTCACTGTAGTCCTCGCCGCTGTCGCTGGTGTCGGAGATTCTTCTCCTCTTCTTCTTCTTGTGCTTTCTCACCGATTTGTCCGTCTTGTGCGCGCGTTGCTTGCGATGCGACTCCCTCGCATTCGGATGAGCGTGTATCGTCAGCTTCGGCACCCGCGGCGTCGTCGGCGTTGCTGCTGCAGCCGCCACCGCGGACAGCGAGTTCATCGAGTTGTTCGGATGCTCCATCGGAGCGGAGTTGATATTTAGATTCGGTTGCGGTAGTAATTGAAACTGTTGCTGGCCACCCGCGACCGCCAGGGTGGCCATATCCCCTACGGCGCCGTCCGCTATCGGTCTGCTGCCATCGACCACAGGATGCGGCGGTATCCTGGTAGCATGCTCCGCAGCCAGCTGTTTCGCGCCACCACTGGCGTTGACGGCGTCGTTACCACCATCGTCGTCTGGTTCCTCGGGATCGAACTTGAGCATCAACTGTTTGAAGTCCAGATACTCCTTCACGAGCTTCTTCCTGCCGTTTGTGTCCAACTCCTCATTGGTCCCGCCTTCCCGCAATCTCTGCAACGTAGCCTTAGGCTCGAACAGCAGATTAGTCTTGCGATTGATCGCTTTTTCGTAGACCTTGGCCGATTCCAAAGGCGAATACTGACTGACCTTCGCGTCGGAGATGCCATAGAGATCCTTGAGATGCTGCCGAAGTGTCAGTAGAAGTAAAAAGCCTTGACTGGCGGTAATATATTCCCTGAGCAAGGTGGTGTCATTTGGTAATCTAACCAAAATAGCTTCTTCGTCCTCCTCATCGTCCTCTTCGTCTTCTAAAACTGACAACATCTGAGTTGGTTGACCGTCCGGCCCGGTCGTCGTCGTCTGTACCGGTGGCATCATCGGCACCGTCTGCCCAGGCATCTGTCCCGACGTCAGCTCGGACTGCCCGCACTGCGATTGCACGCTGCCCTCCTTGGGCAGCAGAGCCTCCTTGAAAGATTGCAACACGTTCGTCCCAGACATGGAGATGATGATATCGATGTGATGGATGATGAAGAGCGGCTCGTCTTGCACTTGATATGTAAAGTAGGCGAGATTATCCGCCAGGTACAGCATCTGCGACAGACTGGTCTTGGCATTCTCGTCGAAGCGCTTGAGGAAGGACAGCACGAACGCCCGCCTTTGCTGTTTCGTGCTGCGCAGGATCGTGTAGAGAAAACCGTTGAGCGCGCCCGGGAATTCGCCGTCCTTCACCCGCATACCCCTGACCGTGATGTCGTTCTGCAAAATCTTCTGCAATCGGTAGCTCAGCCCGATGCCAAACTGCGACTTCATATGAAGGAAACCCGGATACTTCTTTTCGATGTCCTGCAGCCACTTGTCCGCGCTGTGACTCACCGCCTTCTCGCTATCAGTGCTCATGCATATCAGATAGGGCACTATCTGGACGGGATGCACCAAACCCTGCGCTAAAATCAGTTGAATAACTTTGAGAGCCGCGTGTCGTACACTTATATTAATGTGTAGAAAAGACTCGAGAATTTCCTTGATGTAGAGCTGAATCACGGTGCTCGCCATACCCGACGATACGTCACCCATCTCTTTTAGATTCTCCTGCTTCGACATTTTCGCCCATTCGAGATCTTGCTTGATCATTCTCTTTTCTTCCTCCTGCAGGTACACTTCAATGTTGTTGAGCACCTGGATTCTCATATGGACCAACGCGTGTTCCGATGTGAGTAAATGATGATAAAGCTCCTTCAGCTCGGGCAGCATCATAAACTCGTAATGCCGTATACAGAGAGACCCGATGGCCGACAAAGTGAAATGCCGGATGTCGTCGTTCTCTAGATGAACGAAATAGTTGAGTGTCTCGAAAACCTGATCCTTAATATTGTCCGCGAGACCTTCTATCACCTCTGCATCTGTGAAATTAAAATGACGTAACAATAAACCGACTGTGAAAAGCGCTCGTCGGAAAAATGGCCTGTATTTTAACAGCATGGGATTGGTTGGATCCTTCTCGTAGAATGATTTGTACTCCGTTAAGTGTCCGTAGTATTTCTTGAAGCAATCTCGTATCAGTTTAAAGTTCCGCGTGACGTTATTGACTATGGATCCCAAACACGACAAACAGCTTGCGACTACCGATCTGTCGTGTTGCAAAATCAGTTTCACCGAGTCCTCTTCTAGCTGCGCTAAAAAGGTCTCACTAGGATGTTCCATCAGAGGCACCACCAGTTCAAGAGTATGCGCGACGCTACTTATAATCTGATAGTCACCTTGCGTCTGACACTTCAGACTCAAGTAAGGCTGTAGGGTGATTGCATGATTGACCAGAAGCCGCGGCCGAATCTTTGCGAATAGATAAATCGTTGTCAGACACGCGACCAATCTCTGCGACGAGCCCTTCTTGCCCGATTTTTCCGAGTCTCCCAGATTTGTTTCCTCCAACCGCAACACGTTCTCGATTAGGCAATCCACAATTTGCTTGCACGCCGTCAGCAATGTCCGTGGCGGGTCTGCCTGTATCTTCGTACTGTCATCCTTGTCCTCCTTCGGCTTAAACAGACTTACCAAAAGCTGCTCAAACCATTCCAGTCCCATGTCTTTGCTGGCTGCTACGACGTCCGTGATATTCATCACCTTTCGCAGCAATGATTCTGTGTCAAGGGTGGGACGCTCTTTCACTGGAGTAAACCACATATTTTGAAAAACCTCCATAACGAGCTTCCGGATGCCCTCTTCGTCGTTCACTCTCCTTATCATTTTCACGCAGATCTCCGGAATTTTAGGGAAATTCGGGCATTCCATACAAATATCCTTGAGAATCTTAATAACGCGTTTCCGCACGCTCACTCCGGTGTCAAGGATTCTAGCCGATAGCATATCGTAGTATTTGTCAATCAATTCAGGTCTACTCAATACAAATTTTCCTACCAAGTCCACCGCTGCCTCTCGCACGGATGTGGAGTGATCGAGGAAGGAATGCTTCACGCCCAGCTGCATATCCACCCTCGCCAACACGCTTGGATCAGCCTCGACGATCATCGTGAGGCATTTCATCGCCTTTGTTCTAATAGCAATGGACGATTCCGTCAATACGTGAAGGATCTGCTTGAGGTATTTATCAAAGCTCTGCGAGAATGGTCTCTTGGATGCGAGATACTGTGAGATCAGTTCCGCGGAATTATAATCGATGTATGTCTGCAGGATGTCAGGTTTCGTTCCTGTGCTGCATAGCCTTATTCTACTGATAATATACTTCTTCTTTTCCTCGATAATTCGGTAAGCCTCCGAATTTTTCTGCTCATTATTGTCGTTTTCGTCCGGGTCTTGCTCGTCCAATTCGGACTCGGTGTCCTGGTCGCTGCTGTGATGCCGGTTTTTCTTCTTGGCGCGTTTCTTGTGTATTTTCTTACTCGGGCTGTTCTTCGACTGGCCTACCCGTGATTTTTCCAGCGCGCAGTCCCGATACCATTGAGCCAGATAAAAGTGACGCGCGTATCCAAGGGCCGAATCCTTCGTCCCGTTGACCGCCAAATAATCTAAAAGTACCTTCTGTAGAAACACCATCCTTTCCTCGTCTTCGCTTAATCCTGGAATCTCCTTATCCTTTATTTGGTCATAATCCGAGTCCTTTTGCTGTTCGAGTTTGATGTCTCGTATGATCTGATCGATAGTCGATAGCTTGCAATGCGAACTGACTGCATCCTTGCGTAATCTGGCCGCTACTACACCGAGATAATCGATGGAAGCTACTCGAAGCGACATGTCGGAGCTCTTATTAGAAAAATGTCCTACTAACAGATTTCCAAGAAGACTGAGTAACAACTCGGCTGCGGGCCACTCGGGTTTATTCACCGTCGCCAACAAGTCTTGCACGAAATTTTCAAATAGCGGTCTGTAATCAATTTCTTCGCCCTTACTACCGCATTTGTTGAGGAACACCGTTAAAAAATTGCCGGCTATTCTGGTGGCAGTCTCGTATCTATTGATAATGAAGACTTCAGAATCGACGTGATTGGGCTTCTTCTCGTCCTCCTCCTTCTTCGAGTCCGACAAAACCACTACACATTGGATGAGCTGCAAGACTAGCGCCGTCAACATCTGTATATGATCCTCGGAATTGAGTCTGTACGTGCGCAAACTCCTTTTGCTACTAGGTAGTCTCGCTATAGATGCCAGGATATCGTCCAACAATAGTCTTCTGTGTTTCTCATACTTGGTGAATATTACAGTGACGAGTTTCAACGCGCTCAATTGAAGATCGCTCACTGATTCGACGAAAAACGGCGCGACTCCTAAGGTCGATGCGTGAAGAACGCTCGTGTCTGTTAAAACCTGTATATTCAACAATTCAGCCAACAGACCTACCAATTCGTGCATCTTGTTGTAAACCTGCAGAATACTTTTCTCGCGCACCTCCTTCATGTGACCCCGCTTCTTGCGTCCGCTAGAATTAAAATTGTCAGTCTTGTTCTTTGTATCTACCTTATAGACCGGATCGAATGAGGGATAAATTGTGTTCTGCAGTTGAAACTTCATAAAAAGAACTATTCGGTCAATGACGTCCTCCAAATAGACTGTCTTCGGCATATTGCTGGAGGTCATAATATGCAACGCAATCAACGAAGCATCTACGGCGCGTTGCACTCGTTCCATTGCCAATTGCACCCATAATCGTCCTTCTTCAACATCGTCGTCTGGGTCTACGAGTGGCGATACCCTCGCACCGTCTCGTATATTCTTTTCCAGGATATTCAATAGCCTTACTAGTCTGTCCGTGGGTATCGACTCCATAGCACCCAGCGTTTTAAGTTTGGCTGCTTCCGTACAGAGATCGTGCAACTGATACTTAGGAATAAGTATCTCAGGAGGTACATCACCGTCTTCTTCAAAATCGGCGTTTGCTGTAACGTCTTCCGTGTTCTCGAAAATCATCTCTATGGTAGAATTAAATCGTTGATAAGTATTGGTCTCCATCAACTCCTCCACGCTCAATTTGGCTAATACAGGCACTAGCTTCTTCTCGATCTTGCGTATTTTTGGTTTCGTCGGCGTATACGGCGCATCTCGTTTATCGTCCTCCTCATCGTCGTCCGTTATCCTTTTCCGCCTACGATTTTTGTCCTCGCTCCTCCGTCGTTCCGCTTTCTCCTTCTCTCGTTGCACCTGCCGCTCTTTCGCACGAGCTTTGAAGTGCTTATTGTTCTTGCCGATCTCCTCTTCGCTCTCGGAATCAGTCTTCGACATGTCGTCGCGATTAGAGATGCCCATCTTCGCCGCGCGACTCGGCGATTTTTCCGCGAACGCCGCCAAACTCTTCTGCATGAGTGCTTGATCTGCAAGCGTTAATCTATTTAACATGACAATAGGCTCCTTCAACTTTTCCGTCAACGGTCCAGTAAGCTTCTTTTCCGAATTATTATTCTGTTGATGTTGCACATTGGGCGCAACATTAGTCGTGGCCGGATTCAAAGCATTAATCATATCGGTGGCGTGTACATTCGGGTAAGATGTGGTCTGTGGAGTCGGTAATAAATGTTGCACTGCATGTTCAATGCCTTGCTTCACCTCAATGTTCTCAATCGGTAAATCAATATCGGGAAGAGCGCTCGTTGGATCGAGAAGAAATTGTTGATTATCCTGTACCGCACTATCGATGTCCAACGATTGACCGCTACCTAAAGCATGATGAACTTGCTGATTCATCATAGGATCGTAAAGGTTTTGTTGCATACTCATTGCTGGATGTTGCTGTTGTAGAGGCATATTGGTGCGCATGGGAGATGCTATGTGCATGTTATGCTGCGGCGTCATACCAGCCATGTTGTGATGCTGAGGCGTCACATTACCGAGAGACAGCGGTGCATTGGGTGAGCTCATGTGAGCCGGCGAGTACATGTTCGGTTGAAGAGCTACATTCGATAAAGGATTTATACAATTCGTGTCCTCTTGCATATGCTGGGGCGTAGTTAACGTTCTCGTTTGTTCGGTCATAACGTTACCTCTGGGCGATGGGGAAGGCACAGCAAAGGGAGACATCTGCGAGATGTCCGCATGATTCTGCGGGGTGATCGGCATTCGTGGATGTTGCGCGTGAGCGATACCGCTGGCCACCGGCGGCGGAAGTACAGATCTGGCCGCCGCAGGATGAGCCGGACTACCTTGGGGCGTTTGTCTGGAGCCTGATGAGCTCGAATAGGACGGCGAGAAACGACCATAACTTGCCGGCGATTGATTCGCGTGCAATACAGGCGCGCCCTGCGCCCAATTTCTCGGAGAATTGTGTTGAGGTCCTCTGAATACGTGAGGATTTATCTGCAAGATTGCCTTGAGTAGTTCAGGAGTGTTTTGCTCATTTTCTAACGACTGTTCAGTGTTTGCATAATTATCCTTAAGTTCAATGTGATCCGACGAAGTCTGTGACAGAGACATTATTAACTGCGGTACAAGATTCTCATCGCGAACGCTTAGCAATAAATGCGCTTCCTCTGCCACTCGTGGATGAAACAGCAACGACTTATTAGTCAAAGTCTGTGGCAGCGGAGTCGGTAGGGGCATTTCAGGTAACAAGTCAGTGAGACTCGCAATACCAGCGAGGGTAGTTATTGGCACACTTGGTACAACCCCATTCATTTTGAGTTTGATTCGTTCGGGCATTACAGCCTAGACAAAAGAAAAAGAATCAAAATCAATTCTAGCATTCTTAAACTGCGCAAAGTTCGTGGGACAATACAATATGCTGAGCACGACACAAGCATACTACGAGTACTTGTTTACGATATACAATAAATATAAGTCAATGAAATATGTTTAAATGCACTGTCCCCACAAATGTCTAAAGAAACCATCGTTACATATTTCTCACTATGCATTTCAAAATACTAACACAAATAGTTCACGTTGAAGAGAGTCTTTAATCCTCTTTGAAGAACACTAAGGCAAATATCGGGAACTTATCAGAATCTTGTTTAAGTTCCCATGTTGCGAATAAAAGTCTCAACCAAATTTTGATGAAGCACGTGGATCCTCCAACAAACGGTCCATGTTTTTCAGTACTTTGTCCTGCAACAAAAATTTTCCATATGTAATATATATGTCGCTTTAAATATATTTTTACTATCATTTTACATTTTAAGTATTTTTTGTATTTAAACAATTAAAATCTAAAGATATAAAATTAAAAAAATATTTGTACGAATAAAAGCTAGATTATATATCGTACATAATAAAAAAGTGATATGTATCAAATAAAAACAAACTATAGTTATAACCTAAAAATATGCTATAATTTGATACTTGTAATTTGTATTTGCTAGAGAGAGACTAATATATTATTATTCAAATTTAAATGTAAATATTGAATTATATTTGAAAAAAAATAATTAAAATTATAATCAAAGTTTATATATATATATATATATATATATCTTATAAAAATGAAAATTATATTTATTTTAAATCATCTTTTTGACTCGAAACAATTTGTTTCCTAGCATTATACACAGAACATAAACTAAATCTTGCATTGTGTTATAAAATATTTGTATAGAGAATTAATAGTCATATAACATTTATATACAATACGATATTCCTTGAATCCTAGTTTCATCGCACTCAAAAGGCACAACCATTAAAGAATGGCATGAGAGAAAAGTATGAAAACGTCATTAAAATACAAAAACAAAAAAAGATTCCACACATTTACATAAAACAAGCATTTCTTCCGCAAAAATGTAACATCATCAGCTGTTACAAGCCACAAGAGTTCCCAGCAGCACAGCGCAGACACCATAGAAAATCAGGCAACATCGATGAAGACAAGGACCAACTGCGCTGCATCCAAAGAGACAATCCTCCCCAAGTTCTCAATAATAAACGACGATTGTAGAACGCATGATTTTACCTTCTCCAGGAGAACGTCGACTATCCAACATCATACGTCGCGCGTCACCATATATCCACCAAGCGACCGGGAGAGCAGATGTAACAACACACAGCAGCTACAGAGGGGGAGGTGAGGGAGGGGGAAAACGCAGCTAGAGAGAATCCTCCCGTCGACGAGGAACTCCGACTCCGGTGAATCCTGGGGCGAATACTCGCCGGGTTGCGCTCGCTCGCTAGGATGATCAAGAGGCGGCGCGAAGTGACAGCTCGGAGGTGTCACCCGGAGTCACTATTTACGTCGGCCGATCTCTTCGCTCCTCTTCGCGGCCTGGCGGGTTTTGGCGGGAGGCCGGGCGCCGTTTCGCGTCGCTCAGGGCAGCCGGCGGGTTCCTCGGGCACCTCGTGACGCTTCGGAGCAACCAATCCGCCCGGTCGAGAGACTCACCCGCCGCGGGAACACCGTCGTCGTCCGGGCGATGCTTCGTTCAATTGTCATCCGCGGGGGCTACCACTTACGTTGGTTGGCCTACTTGGTTGGACGCGTTTTCACGTCGCGCACGGCGACTCCTGGCCAGGACTCCGCTACACGACACTCGCCTCACTCGCGTTCGACGCAGCGTCGCGCAAACATCGCCGCCTCGCAGCCGCCGCGTCCTCCCGTAATCGGTATTTATACTGGGAATGCGAAGAAAACAGACACAAAGGCGTCCATTTTGCTCAGCAGCGAGTTAACGGAAGTGGCGTAGTAGTGGGATATCGCTCTCCGGCCAGACGCAGGTATGTATTACCGGCGGGGCGCTACGGCGGCGTCGCAACCGAGGCTTTTATTCGCCACGGGCGAGTTTACATGAGAGCGACGAGTTCGCAAATCCAAACGAATTTCACATAATTTCAAGCATTTTTTATCCCATACGTTATTTCATTTCATTTCATTCGTTATTATTATTTTATTATTGTTATTATTATTATTTTATTAAAGTCTAAACAGTGCTGTGCTTGGATGAAAAATTAGTTGGATACAATTTTATGTGCTGTCAAATTGAACATTATTCTAGATTCTAGATAATTTATAGGTAACAACAAGAACTGTTAATTAAATAATAAAATAAAATAAACTTAAGCGAGAGAATTTAACGCAACGTCGAATGTCAAATCACGTGTCCAATATAATGACGTATAGTAGCCAATGAAAAACGTTACGTATACATTCTTTCGACAACGAGTGTGTCCTGTCAGTTGACAGATGTTGCAAAAGAAAAGAAATTATACGAATGTAAACTTCAGAGACGTGATTTTCGACTCTGAATAATAATCCGAAAAAAAAATTATTCGATTTATTCCCGTACGCGGATATTCTGACATATCTACGGACCATCTGTCAAAGTGAATGACAGATCTCGCCGCGAGATGGCGGGTCGCGCGGTCTTCCTGGCCTCTCGCGGCGGCGGCGGCGGCGGCGCTTCCGTAGGCCGCCGTGTGCGAAAATAAAAGCCCGGAGCAGAGTCGAAACTCCAAAATGGCGCGCCTGCTGAGTGTAAACACCCAGTTTTGATGTCGGTGCGGAGTGTGGAAACCGCTGTACGCTCGCGTCGATATCCGCTCGCGCCCCACGCGCCCCATTTTTCCGTCTCGTCGTGGCAACAGGAAATTCCGGCTGAATGTTCACGGTATCCACGATCGCCCATTCTATTCCAGGTAAACCAAGCCGCCTGTGCGACTTTTGTTGCTTTATAACGTTTAGGTCTGCCGTCGCGCTTTTTCCGGCTCGCACGACCGAGTCAACAATCGCGCGGCGAATTCGGGATATTTCTACCTCTCCCGCGAAAAGCTCGACGTATTTCTCGAGAACGACGTTTCCCTACGACTTTAACATGCACTCTTCGCTGCACCCGCACGCATAATTCAGATGGGACTATTTTATAATGGTTCTGGGCAAATTGCTTAAATGCAGTTTACTAGTACAGAAGACCAGAGAATTAGTTGTGTGTGATCAATTTCTTTCTTTTCTTTTGGCAAATCGAAATAATGATCTTTTGACTGTTTTTAAATCACAGTATAATTAGATTGAATGAAAACAATTAGTGGTTAGCATGGGTTAGTGGTAAGGATTTACTGCAGCGATAGTTAATAAACTGTTGTGAGTGAGTAAAATCCTCTTCTCTAGCTTACACCTATGATTTCAATCTAAATGAAAATAGAAAAGAAAGAAAAATTGTAGTTGTTATATTTAATATTCACTAACAAAATCAATATTGATTTAATAGATTCTAGTTATATCAATAATCGCATGATTAGCTATCTACGGTTAATATTAATATTAGTGTATATATTAAGTTATACATTTTTCTAATAATAAACTATATAGGAAAAATATTTTTCCAAGAATTACAAATATTTATTTCATTGATTGAAAAAATTTAAGTGAAACAAAAAATCTCAAGTTTTTCATAAATTCTATTAATGATTGGTTCATATCTTCTCTTTCATTTTGAGTTATTTTATATAATGGATTATTTTATATAAATAAATTAAATCTTATAAGAGTAAATTCTTTATTATATACAACACTCATTACATATGTATCATTTTCTGTACAGGGAGTGACCCAAGCAAAATGGCACAGAAGCGTAGTGCTGCCCACATAGGGTAAGTTATCAAATCAAAGCATGTATTCTTAATGTATTTTTGCATTGAAATCATTTTTATAACACAAACATATAATTTATTTAGTTCGTATGTATTTTATGTCATGTCTTAATATATTGTCCCCATGCCAATTGAAAACTGACATTCTGAACTGATAACATAGTTTTATGAATAAAATCTTGATGGCGTATAAAAAATGCGTTAAATATAAATTTTAAGAGAGTTATTTTTTTACATATATGTGAGAAAATTGACTTATAATTGCGGTGACCATATTTTCTGAGGAAAGGTAAAGGATAAACCTGAAAATTTTAGGGCTTTATTTCTACATGTTTCTAAATTAGTTTGCGACCACAAAAAATCGACGTGCAAAAAAAAATAATTCTGTGACCATCAGAAATCTACATATTCTTTGTAATTCAAAATTTACTACGTTAAAATAAATCCTTTATTTTTTAAATAAATTTCAGATAAGAGATTTAAAAAAATAAATAAATAAAAGATAAAATTGTAGCAAAGGATAACATTTTAAAAATGGAAGACAAAAATGAATAAATTTAAAGGACAACTATACTTGAAATAAAGAGGTGTTCTTTAAAATAAAGAACGGATGGTCGCCGTACTTATAATAATTATATTTATTTATATAAATAATAAAAATATCTATATACATAAAATATATAGCGTTACGCGATACAAATATATTGTTCAAAAGTATCAAGTTTTTTTTTATATCACAGAGAGCGAAAAAAATCAGCCAGAAAGGCATTTGGTGACGAAAATAGCCGCTTCGGCGTTAACGATCGAGGTGAAATTTCGCCGTGCAGTTAACATGCACGGCGAACTTGGGTGTCGCGCTTGATTGACGCAGTTCCGAGAAATGATGCAGCGTTCGGGATCAGTTACGGTCGTTCGCCACACATATATAACACGGTAGGCAATTCTCCGCGCTACCCCGGGCTTTTACTACAATACTCCGTTGCCCGGCTAATATACGCCGCGGCGAGATCGTTGCAGCCGTTGCGACATCGCTTAAGAAAACGTTTCGTTATCGTGTATAAACGCCGCGCGTTACTTTTACTCTCTCGGCCCCGCACACAACACACACACACTCTGGGTCTCTCTTTCTCGAAAATGCTTTTCTGCCGCGCAGCTTTGGCACGCGAAGCAGCCGCAAATGTCAACCCGCACACATTGTGTAACACACTTTCTGGACTCCCTTTATAGCGTGAAAATTTCCGATTTATCGGACCCAGACACGATTCTTTCAGTGTGATAAGTGCATATCCGTTTTGCACTCTATATTATCATTTTCATTTATTTCTTAATACTCATTTATTTTTATTAATTCTTTTAATAATTAATATATATCTTGTATAAGTGCATTATACATCTCAAAACTTTCTAAGCGTTTATCAATAGGGGTAAGGAATTTAGAATTAATTAGGGAGAATTATAATTAGGTAAAGAATAATATTATTGGGCCATATTTAAAAAAAACTAAAGAATTTTTAGAAACGCTACACGGAGAGAATTTTCTCTTAGAATTTATCCTGAAAATCATGGTAATCGTAGGACAATATGGTATTGGAAGAATTGTATAAGAGTTTCTCTGATTAAATATTTACCACAATAAAAAATATTAATATGTACATAGTAAAATTAATCGAACGTATTTTATATCTTATTGTAGATATTAATATTTTTATTGTGGTAAATATTAATCAGAGAAATTCATAAAATTTTGCCAATGTCTTCCGTGTTGTCTCACGATTATCATGATTTTCAGGATAAATTCTAAGAAAATTCTTTCTGTGTATAAAAGACAGCTATTTAGTTTTGTTAATTTTATATATTGCTTATAATCACATTATACATCAAAATTTTTCAAGTATTTATTAATAGGGATGAAGAATTTTAAAAAGACTAATATAATATGTAATAATTAATTATAATAATTGAGCCATTCGCTGGAAAAACGAGTTGAGTCAACTTAAGTTTTTGTACAAAAAATTGAATTAAAAATTCAACTGTGTGATTTATTAAACATTATACTCACCTTTTATATTTTTTTAATATACACGGTCTTATTTTGCTGAGTAGCTGTTTAATAACTCGAATCATATAGTTGAATCTTTAATTTTTTTGTGCAAATACTTAAGTCGACTTAAGTTGTTTTTCGAGCGAGCTGGTCAATTGTAAAAATAATATTATTGGGCCGTATATTAAAGGGGACGCCTGCTTTACAAAGCTAAAAATAAGGTGTTTTTTTGAGAATTTTTTTTACAAAACTGCATAGTGGATCATTCTAAAACTTTCAGGTATTTATAAATACAAAAACATTTTTTAATTAAAAATATGGTCTGTATAAGTCGCTCTATAAAAATCTTGCAGCCTTATCGCCGGAGTTGCGAGCATTCTCATATTTTAAATTTTGTCTAAAATTTAAAAACCAAAAATTTTCTTATTATTTATGAAATTACATTGTCGATGAATCAATAATATTAGAAAAAAGTATAAAATTAACAATATGGTGGAGTTTAGAACACAATAGTCCAATTTTCAGGTACATTTTTTTTACTTATTTATGCAAAAAAGTTGTTTAAATTAATTTTTTATTATTGTTAATGGTTCAGCGACAATATAATTTTATAAATAATAAGAAAATTTTTAATTTTTTAAATTTAGACGAGACTTGCAGATATGAGAATGCTCGTCAATTTGCAACTCCGACACTAGTTCACAGTCCATATTTTTAATTAAAAAAATTTTTTTACTTAATAATATTTAATAATAGATGTCTAAAAATTTTGGAATGATTCGCTGTAAAGTTTTTTCAAAAAAAAATTCTCAAAAACCAACTTTGTTTTTTGATTCTCTAAAACAGGCATCTCTCCTTAAAAAATGTTTAAAATGCTATGAGAAACAAATGTAAATATGTACTAAACGCTTATAACTGTTTGTCTTGTATCAAATTTAAAACCAAGTTGCTTGGAATATTAAGAAGTGATTCTGGTTCTCCAATTTTCTCCCCTTATTCATAAAGAGAGTGACGCGATACATTCGAATAAAAAATTACATCTCGTATTATATGCAATTTTAAACATATGTTAATATTTTATATAGACTAAATAGAATAAATGTAGAAAAATATATAGATTGTATACACGGAGAGAATTTTCTCTAAGAATTTATACCCTAAAAATCATGGTAATAATGAGACAATATGATTGTGTCTCTGTGATTAAATATGTACATAGTAAAATTAATCGAACATATTTTATATCTTATTGTAGTAGATATTAATATTTTTATCGTGATAAATATTAATCAGAGAAACTTTTTAAAAAATTCTTTCAATATTGTCCTATGATTATCATGATTTTCAGGGTAAATTTTAAGAGAAAATTCTCGATGTGAGATAAAAATCTGAATAAAAAATGCAAAATTTTTAAAGAAAGCGAGAGGGAGACAAAAATAGAGGAATCAAGACTGAGAAATAAAATGTTCTCTCGAATCAAAATATAAAAAGGAGGATACCCCTAAAAACCGATGGGGGTTCTTCCTCCCCGACGAAATCTCGTCTCCCATTGCTCGCTCGTTCGCGATGCAGTGCAATGCAATGCAATGCATCCCGGTTTAAAAGTCGCTTCGCAACGGTGGCTGTCCCGGGCTCTCTGGTGGGAGAAGTGATAGTCCTCACCGGGGTATACCGCAGCAGCACATTATGCGGCTATGGTGGAATCAGTCACTGGTGAGTTGTGGGTGGTGGCTAGTCGGCGACCCATCCGTCCGTCCATCCTGTCCGTCCACACGTTCATACTTACGTCCGTGAAACGTGCTTCCGCGTCAGTCCGCGTCGCTTCGCCAGCGTCGACAATCTTCATCGATCGTGATCGAGACCGCGACGTGAATTTTGGCGCCGAAAATTGGACGTAGGCAACTGCCTCCGACGCATGTGTCGTCGAGTGATCTCCCGTTCTCTGTGAATTAAACATTGACGATTTTGGAAAAATCCGAAGATCGAGAGCATTTTAATAAATACCTGTATAGAAATCGGGTGTATTTTCTTATCCGAGTATCAAAATGTCGATTATTTGGATACCGGAAATTACATCTGCGGAGCTGGTCGCTTTACAGAAACACGAAGATTTTTATAATCGAAATTTTATATCAGACATTTTTTATGATTTTTAAAAAACAGAGCTTTAATTTTAATATATATATATATTATGATAGCAATGATCTTAGTGTAGCTACTTTCTAAGGAAAAATTAGTTTTCGTGGATTTGGTCATCGAACGTTGAACTTTGAACGAGCGAGGGAAAGATAGAGAAAGAGAGAGAGACACGTGTTCCTGGTGTGATTTTATTATAATTCGATAAGTTCACCGTTGAAGATTTTCTAAGGGAAAGAAACTCTTTTCTTCGCGGGTGGAGAATATTGCGCCGCGGTTTTTGCGGGACTTGGGCATATATATCCGTGATTTGCGTGCGTTTCTCGTTACGCGAACTCAGCCAAGTTGATTTAGAACGACGAGTTTATTTCACGGTGGAAGAAACGTAAAACACGAACTTTCGAGCGCGTAAACTAGATATCCCGAAGACGAAGAATCATCCTTATCGTTGGTCATGTGATTTTTCATCGATTGACAGCGAGAGAATCCGTGCGATTAAAATCGAGGGCGCGAAATGACGATTTTATGGGAAACAGAACGGATTGATGAAATATATTTCCGAGTAAAAACTTGGCGGACGAATCCTACAAAATTACGGGACTCGCCTTCGATTACGCAAAACATAACACTCCGTAGTCATTTCGTTTGAGAAAAATAGAGCGATTCGTTTCGCTTAACGCGCCGTGTGCTCGATGGAACGACTTTGAACCGAGTTTGAGTTCTTCAGGATTTACAAGTGCGAGATCGCGATGGCCGTCGCTTCGACGAAACGAAGCGAAGAAGAGATTAGCGCGATTTTCCTCTTGATTATGCGCGATAGTGCGACGAAAGGAGCGTGCAAAATTCGGCGTGATTGCGACGGCGGTCCGACGAGGATATCGTGACATTTTCACAGAGACTCTCTTCCCCGAGACTGGTACCGCGGTCGAAGACTCCGGAAGAACCTCGGGAAAGAAAAAAAAACGAACAGTCGTTGTTGTTATAATAGAGAACGTAGACATGCTCTTGTTGGGAAACGGATAGAGTTTGCCGTCGTGAAAGTGACCGATCTGACGTTTTCCAAAATCGAAATCGGAGGCGCACTTCCGTAACACATTTTGCCTCTCCGTGCTTTCTTTCTTGGTCGATTAATCGAAGTCGTATATCGCGGCGACTGGCGGGAACGCGATAAAAAAGTCACTCGAATGTGCGAAAAATCCAAGTGCGGAAAGATAGACTTGCGATAACATATCCTCATCTAATTTCTATAATTCAAGTGGGACAGATAAAACGCAACAGTGGTAAAATTACGGATCTCTTGCGCGTGTATCAAGAAGAGGAGCATGTCGGAAAGCTCGAGATATTTCCGAGAAATGTAGGTCAATTCCAGATAAAGCGTTTTCGCTTATCTATATGTTTTCGTTGAAAGACAATTTTATATCATTTTTGGGATCAGACATGCGCAGTCCGAATGACTAACTTCTAATAGAGAATTTCGTCACTCACAAGTACAAAAAGATTAATATATTAACAAACGCAACAAACATTTCTCAGTCTCAGTGAATGAATTTTCAAAGAGCGTAAATAAGCGGAACTGTTGATTGAAACATAAATTATTTAAATATATTTCACTCTTTTTTTTCTTTTATTTTTTATTTTTTTATTTTTTTTATTTTTTGAGATTGGTGAAGTACACGAGCGAACGTGAGTAGAATTCAGATACAAAAAGGCCTTCGAAACCCTGAAGTATCCCTAAGTAATGTTGAAGAGGGAAACGTGAAGTACAAAACCGCTTGGTAGATCTACATCTTGCTCCAGGTAACGAGATGACAAGATAATTCGGTGGAAGACGAACCGTAGTCGAAGTTTGTATAATCAGGAATCTTAAAATCGTACATCCGAACTATTAAACCATTAAGACTTTTTTTCGCCGAAGAAAACCAAAGTACAAAATGACGGGTTGCGATAAAGGAATGTGGACGAAAATCGCGTTTTTATCGTAAATCTTTTCACGCGATCAAGATTAGAAGCGATCGAGCGTGTTTTAGCTTGTGTTTCTCCGGTTTGAAGAATACTAGTGAGAATAAAAATGTCCAGATATAAATTTTCTTGGGTCAACGAGAAAAATTAGAACTTTTGTAAAGAAATATTATTCGTACAATAAAATTGATAAAATTTAAAACTGATTAAGATAACAGAAGATACTTTAAAGTACAAAAGGTACTTAATTTTGGCACAATAAGACGACGTGATACTTTAAGAGTAATGACTGATTAACTTGACAATGGATGCAAACGTGCACAAGTTATTTCATGAAGAAATATAAGAGCGAATTATCTCAAAGCAACAAGACGACGACGAGTTATAACACATCGGTAATTTAAGAGACGAAACCCGATAACGATATACAAGTGTGTGCAACGATACGTCCGTGAAAGTACGATAGTGTATCGGCGAATAATCTCGGAACAACAATATGACGAGTTAGCTCTCGGGTGACTCAACGACTTTTTCAAGGAGTGTGTGATACTTGTGTTGGATTGATTGATCAACAATCGAGGGGTTGACCGAGGGGAGACCCGAAATACACATATACCGTCAAAATAGAGTATCCCGGTAGCAGCGGCATGTACGGTGGCGGGTCGGCGGGAAGCGCGGGTTATGGGGTTGGTCTAGGCCCGGGCCCAGGCCCCTCGCACTACGTGGCTCCCTCTGCCACGGTGGACTATCAATTGGGCCCGCCACCTCCGCCACCGCCACCTTCGACCGCCTGCCCCACCGCCGGAAGTCAGCTTCTGTCTTACGGGTCCGACTTATCGCCCCATCACATCCAGCAGGCCCATACGGAGACCCAGCAGTCGAAAAGACGGAGGTAAAACAAGTTGCATTCACATCGTTACCTGGTCTCTCCTCTCTTTCTCTTTCTATTTTTTATTTTTTTCAAGCTATATACAACATTTTGATATGTATAGGGAATATTTCCTTTTGCAAGTTTGCACATTTGGTCGATTTATTATTCATTGGAGAGTTTGATTATTATGTGTTATGTGCACTTCATGTCTTTTTATGAATTCTAGACAGAGAGAATTTTCCTCTTAGAATTTATTCTGAAAATTGAGGAATAGTATGGTATTGGAAGAATTTTATAAGAGTTTCTCTGATTAATATTTATCGCAGTAAAAATTATTAATATCTACCACAATAAGATATAAAAAATGTGTTTGATTCATTTTATTATGTACATATTAATATTTTTATTGTGGTAAATTTAATCAGAGAAACTCATAAAATTCTTCCAATACCATATTTTCAGGGTAAATTCTAAGAAAAAATTCTTTCCGTGTACAAACATATTTTAATGAATAAATATAAAAAATATTTTTTGCGACGCGGTTGACCTGATTGTTTTCATTAAGTCTATTTCTGTCGCATTTTTACACGAGTTTGGATGCGATGAAACTTTGTGTCTAATCACGAGTATAGATTCTAAAGAATAAAATAAATTCTCTGCCGCCTTAATCACGCGTCTTCAATTAGCGCTCGCCACATCGCAATTCATCAGCTGACAAGTCATTCTGACGTGGTGCCAACAATTCGCAGAATGCGCTTGTACTGACTTGAAAGAAAAATAACGAAAAAAAAGAAACACGCATAGGAGAACCACCTTTGAATCGAGATAGCCCGATTATCGACGGGCTTTGGCATAAAAATGCACCGTACTCTCGTAAAAACGATCTAATGTATCACGTACAGAAATACTTATCGTGACGGACGGTTCAAAAATTCTAGAACAAAATAATAACCGAGCATGTCCTCGAAAAAATATTATCGATTATTACATTTAATTCTAATGTGATATTTGAAAATGAAATTGAGATTTTTAAATTAATGGCTACAAAAAGATAAGTAGATTCATTTAAACTTGATTTTTAAAATCATTTTCACATATTGTATATAATTTGTTATTTATAATATCAATTATTTATAATATCTACATAATAGGAATATATTATGTAATTGCGTAAGTTTATAATCTAATAAAGAAACAAAATGTGTTAAAAATAGATTTATAGCTGCTTTATATAATGCTGAAATATTAAAAATGTAAGTATAGTTTTACATCAGGTAATTTTATTCCATGTCGTCATCGTCGCGTATTATTGTTGGTCTTTGTACGGAATGTTATTGCAGGATCAGCAGGTTTTCATCCGCATCAGCATGTTAACCAACAGCTCGCGTAACGATCGCGATTTTGTTTCTCGCTATACTAAACTGTCCAAATATTTCGATTTAAGTTAAGAGAGAGTAGAAAATTTAACTTTTATATATTTTTTAAGTAAAATCCACTTTGAAATAAAAAATAAATCTTAACATATAATTATGATTTAATTATAGTCAAAAAGTTTTATATCAAGTTTACTTAATTTTTCCACATAATTACCATTGACTTTCACACATTTTTAATATCGTTTATTCAACAACTTCCTAATTCCATTGTTGTAAAAATCTGCCACCTATATTTTTAACCAGTTATTAACGTCGTTTTTTAGTTTGCCATTAGGAAATTGAGAATAGATCATTCTGAAATTATAAATCGATTTTTATGAATTTTTGCATTCACTTCTTGCATCTGTCATCACTTTTGGGCAACTGCTACGTGTTCTTCTCATGAACATTCGTTCTTCTCTAAATAAACATCATTGCCTAACTTTATTACTGTCACTCATAACATTTGGATTATAAATCTCACAAAGACGTCTGTTCAATTTCCTAACAGCGAACTAAAAGACAGCGTTTACTAATTGATACAGGCGGCAAACTTTTAAGACAGTGAAATTAGGAAGCTGTTGAAACGATATCAAAAATGCATGGAAGTCAATGATGATTAAAACAATGGTGGAAAAAGAAGATAAACTTGTAGAATTTTTTGACCATTTTTATATGTTAACATCTTTTTTTTATTTTAAAACGGACCTTACTTAAAAAAAAATCGCGCCTCGTAATAATTGCATGATTATCTTCTCTCATTTGAAAAAACAATTTTACTTTTTATTTCTCTTTCGAATTAAATTCGATAATCGTCGAGCGATATAATTTTTTTGTTTTCAAATAATTCAATGATATAATTTCCTCTAAATTCCAGTCGCAACTATTTCACTTTCAATCTAGACGCGCTCCGGTATTTCCGCGATTGGATAAAAAGTCGATCTGTCGAAAAAATAGCTGGCAGCCTCCATTCGGGAGGGAAACGTTTCCCTCTTTTCTTCTGCGTTCGGCCATTATATCTCCGCCTTTCGGTCGAACCCGACGCGGTCATGCTCCATTGATCTCTTCGTCTTTTAGCGGTCGGGCGCGTACACGTGTCACGACATTCCTGTCATTCCGCTGGCAACTTTGGGGGGCCGCGTTGCTGCTCGATTAGTTCGATATATCGCAAGACTCCGTCGACTTGCGCGGACTCGAGGATTCGTTGCACGGATGTTTGCTCACTTGTTGCTTTCCCTCCGGAGATATGCGGCGAAAACGAGAATTTTCAATGGATTCCCTCGCCACGTCGAGTCTTGGCAAGGCGAATTATTTTATTAAATATTGAACCGGCGTTTTGAATTTTTGTTAAAGAGGCGATGCAGGAATTCATGCAATACGGGAAGGAAACGCGAGAGTAAACATTTTGCCAAACTCTGTTATATATATATATATATACAATCTTCGATTTAACCGTGTTCAAATATCGAATGTAAGATCCCGAAGTAGAATATATATTCGGATAAAGATTATATGATTTTAAAGAGACAGAAATATCCTTTTTTAACCGATTGCGCAATTTGTTGATCTTCAATCAAATGTATAAGCATAATAATTTTTTTTAATCCTGCATTACATACATATTTCTCAATTTTATGTATGTTTTTTATTAGAAAATATTTTATAATAAAAAATAACACGATACGAATTGATGCAGTTTGTTTCCTGATGTATTAACTGTATTTTTAAACGAGTCTCTGCCGTTTATTGTTTTCTACAATGTACTTCGCACATAAAAGATTGACACGTGTGTATCTTGTATAAAAAAAAAACTTTTCGCGCGCGGCCTTGAACGGAGCGATACTTGGGTACAGTCATCGAAACAACGATAACGATAATCTCTCGGAACCATAACGAAACTCGTGGCAAGCCGATATTACGAGAAGGATACACATAATTATAGTCCTAGGCACGTGCGCCGTGATAAGTCCAAGATATCTAAAAATATATATTAACAAAATTCTGTCACGCTATAGATGCGAATTTTATCGGTAATTTCGCGTCATGATTGATTGATAAATTATATTATAGAGATATGAAACGGGATTAATTAACGAGATTAAAAATCTATATTAGGTGTTAAATCGTAGATATATTTCTTGCCTGATGATAATTGCTGGGGGTATTTTTTTTCACGATGCAAATGTAATCCAAACAACATTCACATAATTGGAACGTATATTAAAATGATAACTGTGTGCAATTAACATTAAATAGCAACAGAGGAAATGCATTTGATATGTACAGCATCGTTGCACGCACGCAATACAAAACAAACTATATATACAGTAATCGCGCATGGGCGATTTCGAATCTCAAAACCATGAAGATAAGTTCAGTTTTTCATAAAAATGTAATTTAAAAAAATACATATTGAAAGGCAATTTAAAAACGATGCGATTAAATCAAATAAATATTTTTCTTCTTCAAGGATACTCTTTCTTGATTAAATAATATAAAGGCATCTTATATCTGAATATTACTAACACACATTTATCTCGTCGATATGATTAAAAAAATCTGATCGATGAAAATTCTCGGTGAAATAAATCTTTAACGAATACAATTAAGAATCGGAGGATTTCTCGTGAAATTAAAATGCAAAAAAAATTGTCGCGATATATATATACGAATCTTATTTTCTCAAGCGCTAATGAGGTATTACGCAGTGCTATACTATGCATTCGATTTGCTCGTCCTCGTGCGGACACAAGGTGCGACGCACTGTTCGCCGCACGGGGCAAACAAACTGCGTCGATTGTAGAAGCGCGCGAACTAATGCCAGGGAGCTTAACGCTACGCGTGCAGGACAGTGCACACGTGCGAGTGCAACACGCGGCAAAACCCACTCGTCGCGGAATTCGTCACGTAGCGGAGATTTGCGGCCGGTCCGATCCGGCGCAAATCCACGTGACCGATTACCAGATCATTACGTTACGCAATGACGTCGTCTCTCGAATTTTCCGTCAGATTTGACAGGACGGGCCGAGCGGATTTCGCCACGCGAAAACGCACGCTTAAATTTCACTTGCAATATACGTGCGATATGCGGCTGCGTTCGACAAAAAAAGCTTGCAACTGTTGCTTTAGATTCAGCTAAAATCAGATTCGCAAATTTTACACTTAGTTGCTAAGCTGTTTTTCTACTGAACGCAGCCAATGTAGGGTGGAGCTTAGGAAAAGAAAATCTATTAAAGGGATGGATGCTGCCGTTGTTCTGTTTTACCGGTTTTAAGTTAGATTAGGTTTTTTATTGAATGTACAGATTGAAAAATCTTCTACAATGAAAGTACTAATAATAATGAATGGGGAGCGCTGCCCGGAAACTAATTTTTGCTGTTTTACGCCTCAACATCGATTCCGCACGCAAATATACATACATACATAATTAATTTAAGTACGAATCTTTTGATACAGGTTTTTAATTTCATTTTTATTACATCTATATTATTTTTTCATCTCTACTGGGAGCGCCATATTTTGTGCGCAAATACACTGTAGAACTTTTGTATTAAATTAAAATTACAAAAAGGAATTGTTATAAGCTGATGCAAGAGGCTGATAAAA